ATCTCGATAGAAAAAAAACTTAATCAAGGATATTAGCAATACGTAAAATTTTATTTTAATATTATTTAAAAAAATAAGAATTCTAACATATATATATTCAGTATTTTTATAAAAAAAAAATACGATATAATTAATTTTTTTTGGCTTAAATAAATCTATTTCTGAAAAAATTAAACTATTCCAAATATCAAAATCTTTTCTTCTTTATTTGTTTGCCATTTTATGTTAAATGTATAAATACATTTATTTATTTTCTTTTTTTTTCTTATCTTTTCATAATTTCAGAATTTCCATTTGGTTATATTTTTTTGCGCTTTTTATAAAAAACATGAAAACATAAATCGAAAACGGAATTCATAAAAATTTTTCGTATAAAACTTTTTATAACATTCTATAAATCGATATTGAAAGATTCGCGTATAACTCTCATATGTGCATACGAATTAATTTATATCATATCTAATAAATCTAAACGTACTATATATATTATTCTTTTAATATCTAAATATTCTAAATAAAATATCTATAAATCATCTAAATACAGGATCAAATAAAATTATTAATTTCAAACGACAATCTCAATTTTCCCAATTATTTAAACTGATGAAATAATTTGGATTAACATCAAATCGTATTTGAATTGCAATCGTTTTCCAATATTTTTATATCTGTTCCTTTTTGCGTGTACATACATCAGAAACATTAACGAGCAATTTAAATGTACATTCGTTAAATATAATATTGTACTTACTGGTTGTATCGAATCCATCTTCGTACGGACATCTTTGTTTGGCTGTAGTGGAAGCTTTGGTCGGCGGCCAACAGAGTAACGAGTCCCAGACTGGCTCGCACCACAACTCTGTAAAAAGAAACGATAGATCCATATAAGGTATTACTGTCACACTGTGTTCCACACGAGTGATATACGCGTTGGCGTTTTATACAATTTGATATATCGGTATATGAATGTCTTTGAATTTCACATGATGGCTGGAATAAATTATACTATTTCCTGCAAGCAGATTTGATTTTTTATTGATTATGTTTCGCTATTTTTTTGTCCCTGCTGTATTATATAGAAATTTCTTCTTTCAATTTCCCATTTTTTGATTAATATTGTATACATGATATACATTATTTTTTTTACAATTGTTGGAATTCTTCTGTCTTGTCGAAATTTTTACGATATTGATAATTAGTTTGTATTTTTATAAAAAATGTTCAAGATTGAAAAATAAAAAAATATATTATCAGGGATAATTCCCAAAGCTGTTTCTTTAAGACCGAATCTCCAAGATCTTTGTGTCCTTTTTACTGGAATTTCCTCTGTGATACTTGTTTTAGTTTTTTAACGTCCTTGTTCTACTTTTCTTTAATTGATGAAATTCTTTAATATGACTTTTGCAACATATTCAATATCTTATTTGCACAAGATAATTTCATTCCATTCGTATTTTTTTTTATTCCAGAATTAATTTCTTTCAAATTAGTTCTTCTCCTATTTCCCTGTATATTTCTATCAAAACGAATTCAAATAAATCACTAGTTTTCAAAGAAATGAAAAAAAAATTTTTAATTCTAAAAGAAATATTAAAATAAATTTCGAATATACTCACCACCTTCCAGAGGCATTAAATTCTTATATCTCGCGCTGCAGAAATCCGGCGTATTATTTTTAATTGCATTAGCGACATCCATATTTCTTTTAATTATCCATTTTTACTTCCTTTTGCCTCTGCATCCTCACTCATCACAAGCTCGATAAATCACACGTAAACAACGCGTATCCCTCCTCTTTCTTCATTTCTTCATTCTACCAATTTCTTCTCCTTGCCAGGCGTAATCGAATTTCAATTCCGGGATTTCCCCGCAACCAACCCCGTTTCTGTTTCCTCTATCTCTACAAGCTGAATTCTGGCTGGTTGAATGCTTTATCTCGAGCGGAGAGACGCTCGAACAAAGAAGAAAGAAATTTCTGTGCTGGTGGACTGTTTCGAGTTGCCTCTTTGTACTTGTGCTCGCTTTATCAGAGGCCAGAATAATTTTATTGTCACTGTTACACTCGTTACTCCCTTTCCATGTTATAATCGATCGCGATAAGAAAAATGGGTACAAAATAATAAATCAAAATTCGATTAAGATATTCATTTTCATCGCTTCTAATATCTTATATTGATCATTTTTAAATGAATTTAGAATTCATCTTGTAGAAATTTCAATATGTATATTTTTCTATTTGTAATTTTGTTTTTCAATTAGAAAAATATATTCATTCTTTCATCTGTTTTTAAAACTTGGAAAAATTTCAAAAATGTTTTGTTATAATGGAGAAGAGTAGAGGATTGTTTTAAGATAAATTGTATGATATCTGAATTTCAAATTGGGAATAAAAATTGTGCCTTGGGCTGAATTATAAGATAGTTGGTTCATTTATGATGTTCATCTGAAAAAGAAGAATTATAAAATTGTTAATTGAAAAAATATTTTTTTAAAGAAAATTTGAAATGAATTTTTAAAATTAAAATAAATATCAATAGTAAATTTAATTTATTATGAAGTATATTCTATACGATGCTATAACGAAGTACTTTGAATGAAATGCAGATTTCATCTTATTGCTTCTGATAGATAGTATATATTCATAAAATCTAGAAATATCATAACATTGCATGATGGTCTTTCATCCTAAAGGATTTCTTCTCAAAGCAACATATAATATTTATATATAATAAGCAAAAAAAAAAAAGAAATTTACCTTTAATAATTTCAACATGTGAATTTAATTAATTATGAAATATTTAATAATAATTTTTAATAATATAATTAATAATATATATTCAATAATAATTTAAAAAATTTAAAAAAAGAAATTATAGGATTGAATTGTTTAAAAACGAAAAATTTTTATTTTTTTTTTTACATAATAAATATATATAAATCATACAAATTAATAATTAAATATTTCATTTCCATTTTATTTATTAAAACAACTTTTGAGAAGGAAAATGATGTTAAAAGCCGAAACTTTATAAATTTTCTTTTTAATTAATATAAAATTATTTAACTAAAATGAAAAACTTGAAATTTTTGTCATCATAAAAAGGAATTGAATATTAAGCTTGAAAAAGAATTTTCAAACAATCGTTCAATGTTTTTTTTCTCTTTAAACTCTTTAAACTTCCACTTTTTACAATGAAACGTGAAAAAAGTTTCAAATAAGATTATTTGCTGATGATTATCTGCCAAATATGTCAGGTTACAAAAGAATTGACATTAATTGTCTGGAATAGTGAAAATTGGCAATAATCCTTGAACGATATTTGTTTTTTTTTTATTTTTAATTCCTAACAAATTTTCTACCTTTCTCATCCATTTTCTATATGATTCAGCAAATTCACAATAATAAAATTAGAATTTCCAGCGTAATTTAATTTTTTTTAAATTATAATTTTTTACTACATGACATCATTTTTGTTGATATACGAAAAATTTATTCTTGCATAAATTTTATCTCGTAATTTTGACTATCAAAAAAAAAATTCATATTCCATACTAGATGAATTTTCATACAGAATTTCAATTCAATATCATTTTTAACATATAATTTTTAATAACATCATTATTAATCTTCAACTGAAAATTCCTCTTCCTTCTTTAATAAATTTTATTTCTCACTCTAATTTCAAATGATAAAAAAAAAAAAAAAGAAAAATATCAACATTCGATACCAGATGAATTTTTATT